TATGAGCTGTGAAAGTTAAGGTATTGATTTTTTTTCAAATGTAGATCTGCCTGATTTCTATTGACGGCAGCCCATATTATCTACACAGGCCCCAAATAAAGAATCTCTTGTACTTCCTAATATTAAGCCAAAAGTCTGACTTATAGTTCCAGCCCAAGTAATTTTGTAAGTTTGCATTGCTAGTAATGCGACACCAACGAATATAAAAATTATCATAACACTTGCTATCGTGAGGTTCAAAGTGTTGTAAACAATTGTACTGTGCAAGTATTTTATTGCTGTCCCTTCTACTGCAATATACTGTGAAATAGTTCCTGGCCAAGAATTTTGTACATATGCTAATGCATTTACCGCAACTTGTATTCGTTGATATACGTAAATTCTTGATAAATTCCATCCAACAACATCAACGCCTAAAGTACTTTTTCCAGTTTGACTTGCATCTGCTGCATCAATCAGTGTTAAGCTGAATAAACGATGATCGAGTCCATATAGTCCACCTTGTGCTGACATGGAACTAAGCACCTGCGACCCTTTTGTTGTATTTATTCCTATTGGCCCGCATTGAAGGTTCGATAAATTAGTTACATTCCAAGATTGCACTTGTTGTCCGGGCTCTATTGTCCATTCCACTGTACCATTACACAACTCCATACGGATCTCCATGTGATGGTGATTTGGTATGCAGTTTGACCACCCGTCAATAATTATAGTGTCTCCAATTGGTGATATAGTATCATTCCATGTAGTATAATCGAAATCAAGAGCACAATTAACTACGACGCTTCCATAGGAACTCCATCCATTCATGTTTCTTGCGTTTACAACTTCTATTCGCACAATACTAAGCACCAGTCCACTCAATTTCTTTGCTACAATGTTATGATCTGTTAAATTAGGTCCAACTTGATTCAAGGTATCTGAATTTATATATGGACGTTGCAGAATACTATATATAACATTGTTACTCTCTTGCCAAATAAATGTTTGTAGAAATCCCCAATTCTCGAGCGTACTTAAATCAGCTGTTGCAACACCATCAGTCAGTATATTTATTGCTGTATCTGTCAAACATAATACATAATTTTCACCATCGCAGGCAGCCCCCCTAAACAATCCTGCACTATAATAATTATGAGAAAACCCATTCGTAATGTTATATTCTACACTATAACTATCTCCTGACTGCACCCCAAATTTATAACCTATCTCTGTTATTAGCAATAGTATTTCGCAACAAATCATGATAGCTGTCCGTTTTGGAGTCAGTTTCATGATGTTATACCATCTCCCATGAGCGAAATCAGATGTAAGTGCTAGTTCATTGATTGTTACCCCTCCATTATAAAGATTTCGGCTTAAAATCCACATAGTGAGCCATATGCATATTGTACGCACTGCCATGTTCATAAATCCGTACGCAATGCCAGTAATTGCGATGACTCCATTAATATCTAGGTTAAATATGCTCAAATCTGTATGATTATAACTTAAGAGCCATAGCGATACTCCAAACACGATTCCTAAAATTCCGAATACAGTATTATAATATACAGGGTATATCTTATTCCGTTCACTCATTATTAACAACAACTGATTTATATAATTTTATTATAATACTGATAAAATAATGAGTTTGGGCAGCTTCTAATGGTAACCTGACATGTTTATATATAAGTATCATACTGTAAATAAATCTTAATCAAACTAAATTTTTTAATTTACAAAATTTAACATCATCCGATTTTTATGTGGACTAGCATGACATGATTATTCTAATTAAATATCATATGCTTTTTTTTTTTATCTTCCCAGTATACATTTTATGACATGATTATTCGAATTAAATATCATATGCTTTTTTTTTTTTATCTTCCCTTTATAATCACAAGCTATGAGTAACAAAAATAATTACACAATAAGTAGCTGCGCGACATTGTCGCACTAAACCAGGAACAGATAAACATAAGCTTGATTTAGAAATATTGGATAACCCCGATATATTTAGTATCAGATTTAGTGGTGCTGCTCACTTACAGACACATTTTACGAAAGTACATCATATAGGATTATGCTTAGCATTTGATTGGTTATATGATATCGACCAAATGAGCTGACGGTAAATTATAGTTATTATATGGATATGTGTGTGTAAGTAATTACACACGGATTCATATTTAAATCACGTGGCTTTCGGCCACGTGGTTAAATATGAATCCGTGTGTAATTACTTACACACATATCCATATAATAACTATATTATCGTATGGGTCTGACGTAACAACCCGTGTGTCACTCTGTACTAATAATTTAAGCTTTTTTGTGTTACAATATTTCGTTCACTTGTTCGTAAAACTTTCTCTCTTCTCTTTTTTTTTTTTTTTTTGAAATGTCTAACAACAACTTTATGGTTGACGATTTGTGCGAATATGAAAAAAACCTATATCATGTATTGATTTCAAAAAAAAAGGTATCTTTAAACCCAAGAAATATTGCAAGAAACATTGTAAGTGAAGAAGGTACAAACTTTCTACCAACTTCAAGGAATGTTGCAGGCAAAGGATAATGAGTGATTCTAAGTAGCAACAAGAAAAGCAGCCAATAATAAATAGTATTATTGTTTAATTTTAAGTTTTTTTTCTTTTTTAATAATTAATATATAATTTTAGAGAATTTCTATTTGTACACATAGTGTATATACATGGGTATAAAAAAACCAACTAATATTTTAAAATTTTGATTAGGAAACCACCTTTTGGCTTCTAACAAAAAAATTTCCTTGAGAAATTTTGATATAAACTACTCTTACCCCAATTCCAAA